CCTTAAAGTTTGGAACAGGCCTCCGATGTTGGGTTTCCACAAGTCTACTTGGAGCATCAAGGGACTTAGTAAGCAAGCCAATAAGTACCTGAAGTAACTATATCTGCAGTTACCTAAACCCTAAACCCTGAACCCCAAACCTTAAAACCCTAAACCCAAAACTAAGTCATTAAGACTCATAGTCCTGTACGCAGAGGCCTCCTAAAGCCGTAAACCCTCAACGTTTTCGCTGTTTCAACAAACACATCTCAAGGCTCTAGATTTTAGGGTTTTAGGGTTTAGGGTTTAGGGCTTTAGGTTTTAGGGTTTAGGGTCAAGCTGGCAGCCTATGCAGCGAATACTCGGCTCTCCGTATGGTACCCTACAGTCGGGTCTACATTTCGCGGTGAATCCCAAACCCCTGTAATATGACACTTCTGCAAGCCTTATACGACAACCCTAAACTCTAAACCCCAACCCCTGTAGTATGGCGCTTCTAGGATCCTTATACGAATCTAAACGCCAGCAGAGGTTGGGAGGGAAGCCACTAAGTACTTTCGCAAGAACAAGACCCCCTAAGCACCAAACCCTCGACCCAAGCGGCACAACCCTGCAATGTAGTGGTCTTAACAAAATGAATAGGGGCATTATACCATCTAAATATAGCGGGACGAGAGTTTTAACACACGTCGTTCTTACACATATGTGACCCTATCAAAGCCTTACGACGCTATGTATAAGACTATATTCTATATTCGGCGTAGCTCAAACGATAGACATGCCCATACAATAGCCTTATACGGCACCATACACCTATATCATCAGGAGATAGAGCTGCCAATCTCTGAGGCTTCTAATATAGGGGCCTTCATGATTAGAATAAGGGTTTTGGGGTATCTTGTACAACATGTACAATAAGGACCTCACAGAATGAATAGTATTGGTAATGATTTCGGCCACTCTATTGCATTTGCCTTACAGCCCTCGCCCTGAACCCCAAAACCCTAAACCCAAAACCCTACACCCATAACCCCATAACCCTAAACCCCAAAATCCTAAACCCTCAACCCTAAACCGTGAAGCTCCCCCAGCTTGTCGGGAGCCCGAGCACGAGCGCGGGGAGCTCTTCCACAAAGGCCCTGAGGATGCAAAACGCAATTCAGGGCTCTATATTGGGTACGACCCCCCCATACAGTAAAAGTCCATAATAAGGTCATTATTAAGGGCCTTCTATGGCTTTATTCTAAGCAGTATAATAGGGCTACTATTAAGGGCTTTATATATCCATATTATGAATATTACTCAACTGCTACTGAGTGGGGGCAGTATCCAAGTTCTTTACGAGGCTCCCAGTAAAGGGTACCATAGGGTTCTAGAATAGGGTCCCCCTTAAAGGGACTTGGGGTTTAGGCTTTGGGGCTCAGGAGCTATCAATGGAGGGTGTTTTTTAGCGATATTTCTGGATTAACTTCGCAGGATCCACTTTTTCGTAGGTTTTAGTCTATCGGGACCCTCCAAAAACAGTAGGCTCTGGTGGGTAAAGCTATATATGGCTCCCTTGCTTATGAGACAAGAAACCCTAACAGCATGGCTGGAGCGACTCCCTGGTCAAAAACCCTTAGAAGAAACTCGACAGCTCACCCATCCAAAGCCCAACTTCCCGCTACTAATATAGCCAATAATTAGTAAATAACAATAAGAATACGAATATTTGCTGATATTTGTAAGATCTAACAACAAGAATACTAATATTTGTTGTTGTGCGTAATAGGTAACAATAAGAAGACCAATATTGCTATTGATACTCTCAGCCAAACTCCCGTTGCCACGCAGCCCCACAGCTCCCGGATGCCTGAGAGCCCTCTGGGCGAAATGATGAAAAGTAGTATAGGGGCCTTGATAATTAGAATAGGGTCTTGGGGTATATTTTACTATAACTGTAATTAGGGTGTATCCGAAATAGTATAAGTGATTGTGCAGGCCCCTATATTAGCAGCATTGCGCAGCTCCGATAAGAGTGGTCATGGACATGGTCATGCCGCATGGCTAGTAGTAGTAGTAGCAGTAGTAGCAGTAGTAGCAGTAGTAGCAGTAGAAGTAGTAGTAGTAGTAGTAGTAGTAGTAGTAGAAGACGACAGCATTTCATTCGGACCTTACCGCTGCTGCTCCTACTGCTGCTTTTCTCTCCGCCTCCTCCTCTTCTGAGGACGACGAGGAGTGCTACTAAGACTGCTCCCGCACCTTGTCTTTCATCATCATCACCAAGAGCATCATCAATGTATCATCAGCTTCACCATCATCACCAACAGGAATCTCCTAAACCCCAAACCCTAAACCCTAATCTTCATGCATGCAACTCTGATGCGCAAGAAGGAAAACGAGGGCCGGGCTCTAGAGTGAGGATCGCCAGCGTCGAAATCGTGCCAGTGAAGATATTCAACTGGAGCGCTACACACGTTCGGGCTTAGGGAGTTTAGGGAGTTTAGGGATTTTTTGAAGAGCCACGTGTTAATGTTTGGATTTTTTGGTAGGGGGCTTGGAGGAAAGAAGTGTCTTGAGGGCACCTTTTCGCGGCTGCTCTATTCTAGGACTGCTTCAAGGATCATGGGGCTCGGCAAGGAGGTCTGCACATCAGGTCAGTGCAAGTAAAAATGCGGATAACTGTGGTACTTAACACCATACTTACTGCGTCCCCTGATGCCGAAAGGCATCGCAAATGCTGGCAGAGTTGGGATGAGCGTTGGTGTTGTTGGCGACATTAAGGACAAAACTCTGAAGCCCTGAATCATCCGAGCCACCGTGTTCTGTACAACCTTTGATCAATTTGGCGGGATGTCGTAGCTTGTTGCGCAGAGTCCCCCGACTGTCGCAGTCCGTCTGAAACCTCTTTCGCTCGCAAAAGCACTCTATTCCCCCACCTGCAAGTGTAAATTGGAGGTGGCACCACGTAAAACCCTGAACCCCTAAACCCCTACAACCCTAAACCCCTAAACCCCTAGAGCCCTGAACCCCTAAACCCCTAAAGCCCGAAAACCCAAAAGCCGGCACATCAACCCTTTCCGGGAGCTGGGCGCAGATCAAGGTCACATAGGCCGTCGAAGGCACTGCGAACCTTCGATCCAAGGGCGCAGCTCCTAATTTGCTATGAAGTACTGCTACTATGAAGCAGGTGAATATGATTAAGAATACTCCAAGTACTACTACTACTACTACGACGACGACTACTACTACCTACTCCCACTGTGACTACTATCACTACTCATGCCCGTGTTATTTGGAAACAACCTTATAAATGCTAGCAGCGGTTCCCACCAGTCGTCTCGAAACACCATCACTCCAAGGGGACTGGATAATACAAAACCAGGGATTGGGGGGGTACATGAATAGTTCTCTAACTTAGGGCACCTCTTTTTGTCCCCAATGCAGTACGGCGCCCTTCTGAAACGGACCCAAAAAGGGACCCTAATTTAGAGAACTGCCCTTATGTATGAATTCTACAATTCTACTAAACAGAGGAACCTTGGGGAACAGCATTCATATAGGGGCCTACAGAAATTGCCAATACTATTTTAGGGTGAGTTCCTTACTATACTTTCAGTGTAATATACCCCAAACCCCTATTCCAACTACTAAGGCTCCATATATTACCATAACATTCCGAGCTTCTGTTGTAAGGGTCCGAAACGCCTGTCCTCCACTGTCAGTGAGATCGAGAGCGTCGAAATTTAGAGCCCTTAAAGGACTGTTATAGAGCCCGAGTAGCACCCCTTAGCTTAAAGAAAGATCATACGAAGGATCGACATTTTAGCGTGCTTAAAGAAAGGTGGCTTATGATCAGGGGGTTCTACAGCATTACCACAGACGATACTGCAAGCTAATCATGTTGATGCACGACATGGGAAGATCGTGCTAGGAAGTTTTTGCTTGGGCTCTCTGGGTGCTCAAGGAGGTAACCGTGGCAAGGAACCCGCTGAGAGTCTCAGAAGTAGGGGACCCAAAAAAAAGACCCCTACATAGTAAGATTCTTGTTCTAGGGACACTTTTTCGCGGGACCGCTATTTTCAAGAACCCGGGGCCCCACCAGCTGCAAAACAACCTCCGAAAACCCTAGCAGCCTGTGGTGCCATGACGAAGACCCCAAATTTGACACTCACAGATACAGTGGACACAGCCACAGGACACCTTAAACCCAAAATCCTTGATTAGACACACACACACACACACACAGGCACCCACTGAAAGGTATGGCGGACAGAAAAAGCGCAAGCCAAGGCCCTAAAGCCCAAACCCTCAACCCTAAAGCCTAAACCCCTAAAACCCTAAAGCCCTAAACCCTCACCCCAAGCCCTAAACCCCTAAGCCCTAAACCCTCGATGTTCTGTGCCCTTCAAAGGAGCTGAAACGTTCAAAACTGCGGCCCAGCCGCAGAGGCTCAGCACAGTACATGAGCGGGGTCATGCCTTTTCCAAGGGTTTATCGGATTTAGGGTTCAGGGTTTAGGATTTAGTGTTTAGGAGGGCCTTCATGGTTGGACATGGGGTTTTCGGGGTATATTGAGAGTATTCGTACAATCAGGAACTCTGAGGAATGATATTGGTAATTTGTCAGACTTCTATATTAGGGTTTAGGGTTTAGGGTGCGAAATGAGATCGCAGCCTTGAGACGTCATAGGGGTGGGGTGTTCTTTGCACAGAGGTGGGGTCCAGTGCTGCTGCGTGCCACAGCCAGTGTCATCGCAACGCTGTCCGAAACCATGGTTGTGCCAAGAATCGATGAAAGAAATCTTTCTCGATGGGTTTATGGCTCAAGATAGGGCAGCCTTGCTGCAAACTGCGAAACCTCAATCCCACCAACAAGGCAGAAAACTCACCCAAAAAAATCCAAGCCTGCGACCAGCTGACTAGGCGTGGAACTAGCTGTGTGTTTTGCTCCATTTCCGGCATTCAGTGGCCGTGGCGTCAGTTGTCAGTAGCCGACAAGCCTGAAGCGCACAAGGAAGAGAAGCAGAGTAAGAACCAACTTCACCTGGCACATCCGTCTTTGTACAAGTCTGGAAATCTCTGTCTGCACTGTGGGCAAGAAGGGTCGATCTTGTTGTGACCGAGATCGGTGGTGTTTCGGTAGCAATTCTTCCACTCCTCTGGGATGTTGATCGTGAGGCTGCCGCACGAGAAGACCAAGTAGTTCTCACAAAACATGTCATCCGGATGAGGCACCTTCTCCCCTTTGCAAGGGATTGGCAAGTCGCCTCTTGCATGGCCTTTGGCGTCGGGTTGATGTAGACGGTAGAGATTACGACCTCGGCATCCACGTGGCGAGAGGGCCTTCTTTGAAGTGTCAGGCTGCGCAGGGCACCGTTCCTGATGCAAACCATCGAAGTGCCAGTAAGGATCTGCTTTGTCGTATCCTTGGTTCGCACGTCACCCCACCCTAACAAGGGTGGCCTTCCCCTCATCCTCCAGTCTAACGTCAGACAACACGGCGGAGCGGGTGCTGTCTTGCGGACCAAGCATCCAAACTCTCTGAACTCGCCCGTGTGGGGTAGGAAGCAGCAGCAGGTCCCCATCATGGTCTTTGCGTCGCCGGAAGACCGCATTGCGGTCACCGCAAACGGGAAGAGCAGAAGCCAGAGCAGGCGGCACATGGCCTAAAAGTAGGAGGACCCGATGGATTTCGCAGTCTGATCTGAGGCTGAGAGGCTCGCGGGAGACGAGGGTCAGAGAGTTGATTGCTCAAGGTTCCAAGCTTCTGCGTTTTTTTGGTGCTTGCTTCGGGATCCGCCCTAATTGTCAGCACTCCCTGCTCGAAGCGAAACCTCGAGCCCTAATTAGACATATAGGTAGTTCTCTAAATTAGGGTCCCTTTTTACGTCCCCAATATAGGTCATAAAGAGGACCCCAAAAGGGACCCTACTTTAGAGAACTACGCATATACGAAGGGCCCAGCCGGGTCTCTATGTCGATCTGTCAGAGTTTCACTCAAAATATCAAGCCGAAGCACCAGACAAAAAGCAGTGCAGATGTCTCTAAACCCTAAACCATTAGGGACGTTGTTGAACTACCATGGATTTCTGGGGGGGCGCGGGCTCGATTGGGCCTGCATTGCTCTTGGGGAGCCCAAGGGTTGAACTCCGAGAGGCCAGGGGGGCAGCTCCATGAATCCAGGGGCCGTAATGAGTTTAGGGTTTAGGGGTTTGGTTTACTACAGAATAGGGTTTTGGGGTATCTTATACCATGAGTTTAGGCTTTTGGGGGTTTAGGGTTTAGTAAAGAATAGGGTTTCGGGGGGTGTATCAGACTATGGTTATAATCAGGAACCCCCCAAAAAAAAACCGTACTCGTAATTCTCTAGGGGCCTAGATTCGCCCCCTTAATAATACGAGTTGCCCAGAGCCAGGGCACTGGACAGAAACCCAAAACCCTAAACTTTCTTTTTTGTTTCACTCACCAGCAAGCTCGGACTCTTCTTTTTGCGCGCAGAGCGAAAAAACCTCTGTTCCCTTTTTGCACCGACGGTGCAGGGGGTGGGTGGGCGGGTCACCCTTGAGCCTAGAGCCTACGGCAGTGAAACACTACGCACGCAAAGCTAGGCTACCACGTTTCACTCACCAGCAGGCTCGGAC